CAATTGCCATCCTCCGTGGGGGGGGTGATTTCTCACTTTCTCTCTCACTGTCTCTGTCTCTCTCTCTCTCTCTCTGTGGTGAGTGCATATGCCGTAAAGGCAAAAACCTCTACAGAAAAATAAAATAAGAAAGAAAGGTGATGATTCAATGCAGACTTGGTGGAGGAGACTGGCAATTGTTCATCACTGTTGTGGAGATTTATTTCTGAGAAATTTTTGCCATCTCTGACAACCCCCCCCGCCCCGCAAAGGCAGTCCATTTCACCCTTGAGACAGTGCTTCAGGAAGCAGCGGCCATGAAGCGTCTGAGCTTGTCAAGTGCTTTACCAGTTTCCAGTTGGATTTCACTTCTTGGAGTATTCTTATTTGTGTCTCTCTTGATTTGGTTATTTGTAGCCCAATTTTTCTCAGGCCCTCTGTAAATTTGGTTAATAAGAAAATATAGCATTTATTTAAAAATCTCTTTTTGAACACAAATCATAAACAGCATTGAAGCTTTAGACAGCACATGTTGCTCCTCCTTTGTGTCACCACGTCATGCTGTCATTAATAATTAATCTGCATCATCCACATACTAGCTACCCCCCTCTCTCCAAGGGTAACAATTTTGGCGCATTTTTCGTCCATGTGTATAGTTCTGGAAATGACCAAAGAGAGGAGGAGTATTCTTTAAAAGGGCATTCTTTCTGTGCATAGGCTTATCATCCATCTGTGTTCACAAAGAATGAAGTGTTCTGCTGTTTACCCCTGATCTTGCAACACTGAAGCATTCCTTTCAGCTCTGTAGGCACCTAAAAATCAAAGTCCATAAATATCAATGTATGTAGGATGCACTTTTATCCCTGGTTATATTAAAAGCACAGCAACATCTGACCCAGATTAGTATTTTCTAGGATTAGAGTGAATAGATTTTTCAGTTGCTTTGCAACTATGTAAAAGTTTATTGAAATACACTATTTAATATTTCCTTTTCTCAGTCATGTAATAAAGAATGTTCTTGAGAATAACATTCATTATTTGTGATACTAAAAGAGAAATTTTCTGTAGCACCTAAACTCCTCCCTTTCTCCCACAGTCTTTCCTGTAACACACTGCCGGCTGCTCCAAAACACGTCTGAAGGTGACAAGGAATCTTTAATAGAACCCTAGAGCTGTACTGCACTGTTAGTCAAGGCCGGGTGATACTGGAGACATATCCATATGCTTTCATGGGAGTGGAATTCTGGGGAAGGGCAGAGACCACTGTCACCATTGACAATAGACCATAGAATGTGGCATGAAAGCTCTGGGTTCTGCGCATAGGACAGAGCATTCCTAAGCATATTCTGGTAGGATGTTCACATTTGCTGTTATGGGCAGAATGTTTGCATCTCCCCCAAATTCATAAGCTGAAGCCCTAACTTGTAATATGATGGAATGTGGAGGTAGGGCCTTTGGGAGAAAATTACATGAGGGTTGGACGCCCATGATATGATTAATTTCCTTATAATGAGAGGCAGAGAGACCAGAGAGTGCTCTCTTGCTCTCCACCATGTGAAGAAACAGCAGGGAGGCAGTCATTTGCAAACCAGGACAAGGACCCTCACCAGGAACTGATTGGCGGGCAGGTCAATCTTAGACTTTCTAGCCTCAAGCACTGTGCAAAACAGATTCTTGTTTAAACCACCCAACTTACAGTATTTTGTATGGTAGCCCAAGGTGTCTAAATAAGACACCTACATATTCTTCTTCTTTTTAAAAAGTTTATGTATTTATTTTCTCCATGAGCTAGAGAAACAGAGACAGATAGTAAGAGAGCATGTCCAATAGGGTCTTATCACTGCATTTATTTTCTCCATGAGCTAGAGAAACAGATAGTAAGCGAGCATGTCCAACAGGGTCTCATCACTGCAATCTACCTGCAACCTTCATAATTGGGCTAGCACACTTAGGGAAGTTTGGGGACTTGAACTAGGAACTTTCTCATGTAGGGTTGCCTCACAAAGTGTCACACTTTATAGCCACTGCCCTACCATCTGGCCCTGACATCTGCGTCTTCTGATCCCACTCAACCACTGAAATTTTAACTTCTCATTTTAGCCTTACATTCAGTGTTTTACTCAGCTGTTTGCTTTGATCTGGGCCATTTTTGCATTTGACGTAGAGAGCCTATCAGATAAAAAGTTCTTTTGTTGTTTGGAGAAGATAGTTACTTCTCCATTTCTGAGTTCAAAGACTGATGGTAGATTTCTCTGAACAGAGATACTTGGTTTTTCTTTTTATAGTTCCCCAATAGCACCTGATCACCAACACTGTGTTAACATTATTTAATCTATTCTCCCTCATCTGTGCTTCTCCACTGGAATCTTAGCTCTATGAAGATGGGGACATATTCTCTCTTTCTGTCTACATCTTAAGTACCTGGACTGAACCCAGTCCCAATGGGCGCTGACTGGAATGTCTCAGTAAGGAACACTTCTGGGATGTGATGAGGGTCATTAGGTAAGAGCAGCTCTAATTCAATGCTAGCTTGGTCCATGAAAAGAGCTAAGAAGTGCCCACATAACCCACACATGGATTTTTATAGCAGCTTTATTCATAATTGCCCAAACTTGGAGGCAACTAAGATGTCCTTTCATAGATAATGGATAAACTGTGAAATGAAATCCGGACAATGGACTATTACTCAGAACTAAAAAGGAATGAGTTGGGGCTGACAGGTGGCATGGTGGTTAGGGTACTGGACTCCCACGTGGCTGACCTATGGTTTTAGTCCCAGACCTGGTGGCTTTCTTTCTTTCTTTCCTTCTCTCTGTGTGTCTAGCTCATGTCAATTTTTTTTTTTAAAATAATAAATACACAATGAAATAAATAAGGCTTTAAAAACTGAGCTGTCAAGCCATGAAAAGATATGGAAGAACCTTCAATGCATATTACTAAGTGAAGGGAATATAAGGCTACATACTGTATGATTCCAACTAGATGTCATTCTGGAAAAGACAAAGCAATTGAGATGATCAGTGTTTTCCAGGGCTTTGGGGGGCAGGGAGAGAGGTGTAGACAGAGCACAGTGGGCAGTGAAAATACTCTGTATGTATTATGTATGTATGTGTTACTCTGTAATGGTGGATATGTTATTATATATTTGTCTGAACCCACAGAATGTGAAACTCCAAGATTAACCCCTAACTTAAACTATGGACTCTGGGTGATAATGATGGGTCTTCAGTCATAAGGTCATCAGTTATAACAAATGTACCACTCTGGTGGAAGATGTCAGATGATGCAGGGAGGGGAGGGAAGGCTATGCAGGTGTTGGGCACAGAGGGTATGTGGAAAAATTGTATTTTCCTTTCAATGTTACTGTAAACCTATATCTGCTCTAAAAACAATAGGCTTAAAATGAAGAAGAGCTAAGAAATTTTTTGGATGATGTTTTTCTCGGTGTCCTTTCAATCCCCTATTCTATTTATTATCTAGGTAATGTTGAACTTGTTTTCTTACTCAGCTTTAAACTGGCCATTCTAAGTGGACCAGTAGCAAGAAGACTGAGATAGCAAAAAAGACTCCCCAGAGCTCTGAAGAAGTTCATAAAAAAAAAATTGGGAAACTGCTTGGTTATATCTATAATCACAAACAAATTATAGTTCATACTCAGAAGCAAAAAGAAATCTAGCACAGACTCAGATTATAATCTCTTCTGTTTAGGCAGACTGTAGAGCTGGAATCACGAAACACTTAGATGTAGATAAAACAGAGAAAAGATTTCTCTAATAGGCAATTAAAAGCCCTGAATAATTGCCTTACCATGGAAATTTGCTTGTAGATATGGAAAAACTGTGAGTGAAGTATGTATAGATTTTTGTAATATATTTGATAATTCAATTTTTCAGTGGAGTATCTCAGTAATTTTCTCACTGGGGAGGGGGAATGATTAGTCAGAGTTGGGGAATCATTTTTAAAACAGGAAATGATGGGTATTATAAATAGGCAATTTCACTGTAGAGAGATATAAAAGGAACTGTATTCAAGTCTTTGTTTTAATCAAATGATTTATAAATAATTTTAGTCTAGGATAAAATGTACATGAAACTACCCAAATTTGTGAATGGCATATATCTCTTTAGGCTGGGGAGGTGAACCAACAAAAGAGACTGAATGCAGGAAGTTCATAAATCTGTATAAGTAGGATAAAAATGGCAATCAGGACATTCGAGAAGTTTTAAGGGACAGCAACTACTAATATTTATCAAGAGTTCACCGTGCATGGGCCACTATAGTAAGTACTTGGAATCTAGTATTTTATATAGCCTTATAATCATGGATTGAAGCTTCTACTCCTTTCATTACTGATGAAACTGAGATAGTGAGAGGTTAACTTGCCCAAGATCACACTCAAATAGTAAATGAGGGAGGTGGATTTAAACCTAGGGAGTCTGATTCAACTTATGTGCTTTAGCATTCATCTACAGGGCCTCTTCAAATACATAGAAGATGAAGGGAATTGAAACCACAGAAGAAACTAGAGATCTGGAATATTGTTCAATGAGGAAACTCTAACGGGAAGAAAAAAAAATGTTGAGCATCAGGAAGGGTGTGGAAAACCCAACCAAATGTTTAATTGGTTTATAGTTAGGATGCATTTATATTTGCATTTTTGCTGTGGGCAGTTCTGGTCAAATTAATTTTAGAAAGAAACAATAGAAGGAAAGTGGAAATAGAAATGAGAGAACAGGTGAAAATGAAAATTTGGGAGTAAGAATTATTATTATATTTAAAAATTTGCCAGAGGGTATATGCATTCACCAGAGAGAGATCAGAGAGAGAGAGAGAAAGCTAGAAAGCCCCCCTGCCCCAACACTTGGGGAATGGTCACGTGGCAATCCCCTCTCCTTTATTTCACCCCCCTTAGGGGATTTTGGGCAAGCATGCACACATGCCCAGGAGGTTTCTCAAGCTGCTGGGTCCTGGACTCAGATCATGCAGTCAGCCGTGTAGGATCTAGCTGTTAACCACCACAACACCCTCTGGGCTGAAAAACTTAATTTTAAGAGTGAAAGCTGAGATTAATGTCTATGCAACTATAATCAGCAGGACTAAAATGAATATTAAAAATCATTAATAAAATATCTGACAAAGTAAGTTTGGGATGTAAAAAGTGCTGAACTCATTTAATAATAAGCCCATGATATTATTATTCTGGTTGAGTATCCCTTATCAAAAATGTTTGGAACCAGAAATGTTTCAGATTTTGGATTTTTTTCCTGATTTTGGAATATTTGCATATACATAATGAGCTATCTCAGGGATGAGACCCAAGTCTAAACATGAAATTCATTTATATCTCATATATATGGTAGACACTGCCTGAAAGTAATTTTTTTTTTTTTTGAGAGGTTTTAGCTATAGGGCGTGTGCGCTCACCAGGAAGACAGAGAGAGAAAGAGAGACAGAAAGCGAGAAATCACCCCTCAGGGAGGATGGCCATGCTAGAACCCCTTCTCCTATTTTCTCCTCTCGGTATCTTGGGCACGCACGCACATGTGCCCGGCACGAGTTTAAGTCACCGGGTCTGGGACGTGAATTGCGGTCGACTACCTGGGAGTCCAGCAACACATCTATTACACTAACTGCTGGTCCCTGCCTGAAAGTAATTCCATACAAAAGTTTTGTGTTATTGTGTTTTGTCTGCAACCCATAACATGATGTCAAGTGTGGGATTTTCCACTTGTGGTGTCATGTAATACTCAAAACATTTTAGACTTTGGAGCATTTTGGATTTTGGATTTTGGGATTAGGGCTGCTCAATCTGTATGCTGTGCTTAACAAATTATTATAAATAATTATAAACAACTTCTGAAGACAGAGATGTATCCAACCTATAAAAATTCCAGGGAAGGTATTCATGGCCATGAGACAACCAAATATTTCTTAAATAGAAAAAAAAATCACATACTGAAGTATGCTTTGAATGTAACTTTGAAGTTGGATAGATCTAGGTTCAAATTCCAGCTCTACAGTTCACTGAGTAGTTAGTTAATCCTTCCGAGCTGCAGTTTCATCACCACCTGACAACTGTGGACAGTTATACTTCATTGGACAATTGGGCCTGGCATGTAATTGGTACTCAAGAAATGTTAGTTGTTATTATAATTAAGATGACCACATGTATGTCTGTCTGGTATGCTCAAAAAATTCTCTTCTGTTAGACTGAAGGATGTTGAGAGTTTCAATTTTATTTTACTCTAAATTGCAGTTCTGAGGCACCACTCTGAATTTCTGTATTTAGGATAGGCAATTGTGACCTCCTAATTTTTGTTAAACACCTACTTTTGTGTCAGCTTAAATATTATTTCTTGATTACTTTTTCTTAGTAGCTTGTAGTTATACAGTTATATCCTATATATTTCTTTTGGATTTTATTTTTTGGTTGCTTGGTTTGCTTTTGATGATTCTTTTTATGCATGTAATATGATAGGAGAAAATTGTATGCTTGCCTTCCTTCTGAGAGTTGGTTCCTTTTTGCCATTTCTAGATGGTGAACACTTGAGTTCAGGGACCAAATATATAGTAAGTAACAAGGACTCCTCAACAACAACCTCCAGTAAGTCTTCTGCAATAGACATGACAAACTGAATAAAAGACAAAGTAGTATGTGTTTGTTATGACTCACATGTTGCCCAGAACTTCAGAGTCCCTGCCTATTTTGTTTAAATCAGACTTGTCAGGTGATCTGCCACAAGGACTGAGTGTGACACTGATGTGCATTTTGCTGAAATAAGGTCAACAGTCAGAATTGGAGAACCCTGGTAAATTCAGCTATGACAGTTGCCCAGAAAATGACACATTAGAAGATTATTATTTCCTAAACTTCAGTATTTCTCATTTCTGGAGCACTTTAAAAAAAACATTATTATTTTTTTTCAATTTATTGCCATGCAAGTAGGTGACTCCCAGTGACAATAATGAGAAAAGGTAGAAGACTGACCACAAGAGGAACAGGAAGAAAGACATTGTCCAGAGCTTCGAAATGATGTATCTTTACAGCTATTATAGTTACAAAGAAATAGAGAAATAATTTTAAAAAGGAATCACCAGCTTCCCCCCAAATTTTGTACAATGGAAAGCAAGGAGTTGATTAGAATCTATTACTTTGTTATTTTTGTAAACTGACATTGACTTTAAAGACATAACTTTGGAAAAATGTGTAAAATTGGAAACACATTTACGATCCCGCATGCTCACTTTATCTTCCTTTTATTTTTACCTCAGCTTCGGTTTTCTGGCTACGGTCACAAAAAGGAATGAAAGGTCAGCATAGAACAACATAGAAAGTTTAATCTTTAAAACCTCATTAGGTAGTTTAGATGGCATCTGGCCGGAGCCCTGGTTTCTAGGACATGGACTCCTTTGAATTGTTCCTTCAGCTCAGTCTCTGAACAGTGGCATCTGAGATGGAATCCACTCAGAAGTGTAGTCAGCATCCATGTGTGCTTTATATTATAACAAAACAAAATGTAGTTTTTCAACCAGGTAAGTCAATTACAGAGAATTTCGTGTACAAATTAAAGTGTATCCAGAGAGAGAGAAGTGATTGGGAGTGAAATGCTTTTACTTACTTATTTTTTTCTAGATGGCAGATGTGCTGACTGAAGAGAAAGAGAGAGAGAGAGTGGGAGAAACAGGGAAAGTGATAAAGCATACCCCAGAGGGGATGGCCACACAGTAGTCTCTTCTCTTCTAGTCTCCTCTGGGATTTTGGGCACACAATCACACATGCCCAGTGTGTTTTTCAAATCAATGGGTCCAGGACTTGAACCACACAGTTGGCCATATGGAATCCAGCTGCCTTAACCACCACATCACTTATTGGACCTGAAATGCTTTTATTAGTAAGTCTTGAATCTTCAAACTTTTACATGACTATACTCTAAAAAACCCAACATACATTTGTTTCTTTATCCTTTTTGTTTGTTTGTTTTTGCCGTAGGGTGCATACACTCACTAGAGAGAGACAGAGAGAGACAGAGAAAAAGAAAGTGAGAAATCACTCTCTGGGAGGCTGGCCACTCACAATCCCTTCTCCATTTTCCTCTCGGGATTTTGAGCATGCATGCACATTTGCCTGGCATGATTTTCAAGCTGCCAGGTCCAAGTTTTAAACCATGTAGCCATCCATGTGGGATCCGTGCGACCTCCTGGTCCTCCTTATTCTTTTTCCTTCCTTTTTTATTTTTTTTAAAGAGGTTTTTGCTATAGGGTGCATGTGCTCACCAGAAAGACAGAGAGAGACAGAGAGACAGAAAGTGAGAAATCACCCCCCCGGGGGGATGACCACCCTGCAATCCCTTCTCCTCTATTCTCCTCCTGGGATCTTGGGCATGCATGCATGTGTGCCTGGTATGAGTTTAAGCCATGGAGTCCGGGACTTCAACCGCAATCGACTACTTGGGAGTCCAGTGACATAGCCATTACGCTAACTGCTGGTCCCTCTTCCTTTTTTTTTTTTGGGTTTTTTAATATTTTAAATTTTGCTATGGGGTGCATGCACTCACTGGAGAGAGAGTAAGAGGGAAAGTGAGAAAGCATTCCCTCAAGGATGATCATGCCACAATTCCTTTTCCTCTATTCTTCTCTCAAGATTTTGAGTATGCATGAATACATGCCCAGCATAGCATGTCTTTTATGCTGCCAGGTCCAGGACTTCTACCATGCAGTCAGCCATGTGGGCTCCAGCTGCTTTAAGCACCATGGCACCTGGCTAACCCTTTCCTTATCCTTTACAATTATCAGTGAAATTGGAAGTCACCCCTTTGCACTTTCTTTGCACTTACCCTTGTCTCTTTAAGGTTTGTTTTGAAGTGCGTTTGGTATGAGAAAGAGGAAAAACATGGACAAGGAATAAAGGTTTTCCACTCAGAGGTGTGGAATCTAAACTTCTGTAGATCATGTAGATACTGTGCTATGTTATGCATGTAACTTTTCTAAATTGAGGTAAAAATGCTTCAGCATTTGTCTTCAAATTTCTGCACTTTAAAAACAAATTTATTTTTTGAGAAGATGAAGTTGTTAACATGTACTCCGGCAGTGAAGGAAGTTTTCCAGAATGGCCTCTGGCTGCTACCCTCGGAGAAGGTAGCTTCTTTGGATTGATACTCTAGTCTCTGCAACTTAAGTTCAAATTCCAGTGTCCTTGCTCATCTTGAACAACACACAAGACTTGGCCATAGGGCTATTTTCTTTTCTTCTTTGTTTTCTTTTGCTTTGTTTTTAACCATCTAATTAAAGTAATCTGTTTCCAGAATTCTTTAAATTCTGGAAATAGATTAACTTCTCTCCCTCTCTGTCCCCTCCCCTTTTCTGCTTTAACTTACAGAGGCTAAACACCACAGCGCTTTGATGGATTTTCTATTTTGATGGTAAAATCTTTGTTTTTCTTACCAAAAATAATAATAATAATAAAAGATGTTTCTCTGTTTCTGCCCAAACTCTAATCTTGCCATCCTGACTCCTGATTCCCCATATCTTCTCCTTCCGTTTTTCCAGAAGGAATAAGTAAGCCAGTCAGCCATGTTTCTTCTGAAAATAGCAGTAAAGTGACTTCAAGAGCCCTTATGCTGAGTCATGACACGGATACATTTTCTACACCACCCAGAACATTTTGAATTAAGGCAGGAAACTAACTCTAAACCACTGTTGAACTAAGCTCTGCAAAGAAAAAGTATGGAAGTGAAGAAAGTTGAAGGGAAACAATTCTATTCTGTGTAAAAAGTTCAGTGTATAGGTTAAAAGTGTGGACTCATTAGAATGAACCTGAGGGTTAGGTGCCAATTTGCTTATAGCAATTTCTGTGATTATACTCATGCAGGGGAAAATAAAACCTTTTTAACCCGTCCAGTGGCATGCACATAGGATTATAGGTGATGAAATTCCGTACCTTCTTGACCCTCTCTCCCCACCCTCACATTCTTTAAGGTCATTGCTATCTAATTTCTTTTTTGCAAAGAGCCTTGGAAACACATTTGCCTGTAAGCACTTGGGCAGCTGTGGGAGGCGTGCATACCATGCCTTTAGGTACACTGGGATAGGCAGTTCTCAGTGTGTCCAGGGAAAGCCGCATTCCACAGAGGGTAAAGACACACTCAGGCCACACCTTCAGTCATGTGGAGCTGGAGGAGACACAGACAAGGTACACTAAAGGGGAGAAAGAGACCCCTCTTCTCTCTCCCACTTGCATCTCCTCAGGTGGAGAATCCTGTTTCCTATTTTTTTTTTCTTTGCATGAAAAACATGTAACACTTGACCTGCTTCTCTTTCCTTCAAAATCTAGTAAAGGGTTAAGAGATATTTTTTTCCCCCCTAGGGGAGTTTTCTCACACCCACCTCTGCCCCCACTCTGACTTCCAGATTGCCCCAACAGGCTTTCATTCTCTTCCTCTGCAGCCGCCAATGCTCTGTTGTACCACTTTCTCATCAGTAACTCTCCAGATGGGGGTGCTCCTTCTAGATGCTAGACTCCTGGAGTCTTGGAATATCTTTGTCGTCTCATGTCTAGCACTTCGTAGATGCATGATGGTTAATTGAATGAGCAAACAAACTGTGGGAACCCACAAAGCTATTCTGACTTCCTGACTGCCTGGTAAGCTGCATTTGTGTTGCACCAGATAGGCTAAGCCTAGCACTTCTTGAGATAGGAGATACTTTGAAGGGGGTGGGGATAAGAAAGCCAAGATGGAAGTGGTCTCTTGGTAAACAAAATTAAGTGCCTTTAAAAGGCTCAACAAATAAAAACAAGCTGGGAGTCTGTTTTGCAGCAAATTGCGTGTAGTATCCTAAACTCAGATGCAGTGCTACCTTGCTTTATCAGTGTGGGGCCATCAGGAATCCAGCTGTGTCAGTTTCTGCACCTACAAGGAGACTTCACACAGTTCATGGGAAAACGAAATTGAAGTGTGAGTTTATTTTGATGCAAAAAGTTTTTAAATCCATGCACAGTTTTTTCATAGTATGCATTTTCTGTGGACTTACTAAAGACCTCTTGTATGTTTTTTCTCCAGTTCTGTGGTGTAGTTGAAGCCCTCAAAATGTTGATATGATCTATTTCCAGCTGTTTTGAATGTTTTTTTTAAACTGTTCTCATTTGTGTCTATATAATATAAAAACTTCATATATATTATATATGTATGTAATATAATATATAATATATTATATATATATATGTTATATGTAATTATAATTGTAATTATGAACTCAACTCAAACTGACTCTTGCACCCTGTGTTTGGCACACCCCAATTTAGAGGCTGCTGGTGTGAGCATGACTTCTCCCACTCGTGATAATGATTTGGACAAAGTCAGGGCTTTCCTCCTTGAACTCTTGGGAGAAGGTGCTAACGATGTGGCTGAGGACTGCTAGTTATGCTGCTCTCTGCCTCAGTGTACCTCTCCTGATGATATAGCCTATTTTTTCTCACAGCAAGTGAAGATTCATGAATGATATACTAACCCTAAAAGTGAGCTATTCATTCGGTATTTTGCATATGAATTCATTCTTATCTCTTCTGTTTTCTGGGAAAATCCCATT